CCCCAAAACCCCAAAACCCCAAAACCCCAAGGACATTGAGATAAAACTGGATATTAGAGTAGAATGTTAGCAAGCAGGCTAGTACTTTCATAGGAAATGACATTCAACTGTGGTACCGAAATTTTCGATAGAGGATAAGTGGATGTTTCCACCCAACTTTTCGATGATCTTCTTGCAGATTGTAAGACCGAGTCCGCACCCAGTCTTGTTTCTGTTGTGGTTCGAGCTGAGTTTGCCGAAGAGTTTGAATAGAGACTTCTGGTCGGCTTTGGAGATGCCAATACCTGTGTCAATTACTTTTAATGTAATATCCATTGTCTGTGTAAATTCGTTGTCAGGCTCGTCATCTTTTCTTAATACGGATCTGTTGGTGTGAAAGAAGTATTCAGTGCAGTCATGTCTGCTCTGAATATCGGCTAAATCTTCGTAAGGAAGCTCTAAAAGTAATATAGACTTGCTTACCTGCAATGTCTCATCCACTATTCTGTATGAAATGGTCTTTAAAACTATTTTGCTCAGCAGATTTGGACTCCTCATAGTTTTGGAGCTCTTGTTGGTTCAATCTTTCACAAATTTCTATTGTAATCGACCCTCTGTCTGTAAACTTGAGTGCATTAGACACCAAGTTCATAATCACTTGCTTGAGTCTGCCTTTGTCTGACATTATTGGCAGCTCTTTTAGCTTGTCCTGAATGTCTATTCTTAACTCTAATCCTTTGCCATCAGCTTGTAGTGTGAACACTTCCTGTATTTCGTTCAAGCACTGGGTGATAGTGAACACTTCTTCGTTGATCTGGAACACTCCTGACTCTAGCTTGGCATGGTCTAGGATGTCTTCAACTAGCATTCCCAGAATGCTGCACGAAGATGAAGCAATCCGAACAAGTCGATTGCTGTGTCCCAAATCCTGCATTCGCATCAACTCCAGAGAAGCTGTGATTGAGTTCAGAGGCGTCCTGAATTCATGAGACACGTTGGAGAGCATCTGGCGTTGATAATGGTTTTGAGCCTTGGCTTCTTCAAGCTGGCTGATTTGTGTTGTCTCAACGAACATGTGCATGAACAACACATCCTCATCAGAGATTGCATTTTCATCAATAATAGTTGTTTTAACCACAAATTCACGCTGTTGAGGCTCCAAGTCTTGATTCAAATGATCAGCTATGTATTTTATATTAATCTTTGATTCTTTGCTGTAACTGCCTTCATGAGCAATAGACTCTCGCTCTCTGTCAAGGAACTGAGCAAGAGTCAAGTGGCCATGTCTGTAGTCTCCGAACTTTGACATCTGCGATTGGTCACTTCTGTCTTGATCTCCAAGTTGACTCAACTCATCAGGATTGAACTGGATGCCCTTGTACTTTACACTGAAGTCTTCGAGCAAATCAGTAAAGCCTTTGTGTTGACGTCTGTTTGCTTTTCGGTGAGAGTTGGAATCTGCAAATGAAGACTTTTCAATGATTGCATCAAGCTCTCTTTCAATATTGGCCTGAACCTCATTGAGCAAGTCTTTGTTCAAATTAGACTTATAAAAAGAATGGATATCGAGTGTTTCTTTTACCTTGGGATTTGCAAACTTACACTCTCTACTGTCCTGACTGACAATGAGCACTCCTTCTGGAAGACCATTCAGAATAGCTTTCTGTCCATTTAAAGTTTTATGCTGCTTACAGCTAGCAATAAACAGTTCTTTGAGAGTGTTCGAGTAGCAGTATGACCCAAATATGTAAATTACTAATGATACAAATGATCCTGCATAATAATAATCACTCAGAATGCCAAAGGTGGTCTTGAGTCTTACCAGTCCGAAGATATGAAGAAGGACCTGGTTGAGTCAGCCTACCTTCCAGTTTGTCGTCACTCAGGTGCTAAAAACTAAGGATGCAGTAATCTGGAACAAATATCCTTCATTAATCCTAGAAGTAATCACCTGAAGACTTACCTAAATATTGGGAACTTGCAATTTATTTCCGTCATTTGGATGTACAGCATGGTTGATATGATGAGTCCTCAATTGTTGGCCAGCCAGTTGTACTTTTTGATGCCTTTCTCGAGCAAGTGGAACATCACTAGATCGACGACTAGTATAATAGCTCTCTGGATGAACTTATCCTGCTGGAAGATGGTCACAGAGACCATCACAGATGTGATGACGTATCTAAGCACATCCATGAGGACCAGCCAATTATTTCCGGATCTGGATAAGCCGCTTACTGTAGTACTCAGCTTCAAGAAGTTTGTTGCCTGGGAACTCATCCAATGAGAAGTTAATGCTTTGTAAGATTTTCACAATACTGGAAATGTATTCTTCGATTCTGGAAATTATTATCTATAATTGGGATGAATATATCGGTGAGAGACAAAATTATTTAATAATTCTTTGAAAAAATCGAAGAATTGTCCTACATAGCAATGTGCAGATTTTGAAACAAAGATTTAGCAGGAGAGGTTTAGAATTGTTCAGAATTTTCTCTTTAAAGATCATAGTAAAAATTATAATATTGAATATCAAGACATATGCTTATTTTTAGATCAGACAAATTAAATATATACATAAGAAGCAAAATTTCAAACTAAGAAATCTAACTATACCAGCAACAATGAAATAATTATCGCTCTAAAATCCATGTTCAAAACACTTCTACCCCCATAAAAGCCCCCCTCTTCCTCCCTCCCCTCCCTCTCCTCCCTCCACCCCTTACCATTTACTATCCTAATGCCTAAATCAATTATATATATCCCTCTCGGGGTTTTGGGGTTTTGGGGTTTTGGGGTTTTGGGG